GGGGGTGGTCTCATTCGAAAGAGGGCCTCGAGACGTACACTCGATTCGCGTTCGAGAGGGTTCCTCGAGCTGAAGGGATCCCCCGAATTTGGTGCGGATTTGCCGCGCCGTTACGGAGATATGGCCGTTCAAAGTTTCAATGGTTTTCCATAGACTTAAGCTTTAAAGCGTTTCATCCAGGTAGCCAGTAGCAAACAATGGAGCGTGCTCTGCTGGACAAACTAAGTAATTACACCATTTCAAGCATTTTATCTGTGTTATATGTTCTGTAAAAAAATGTTCATATCGGCAGCATATTCGCCGATACGATATATCAGCAACAAGGCTCATATCGGCCGATAATATCGGCTAAACGATATATCGGTCGGGCTCTAATCTGTATAAGTGTGTTTAAGCTTTGTTCCTAGGAATACTGCTAGGCACTGTGTTGACTTTGTTCACACTGCACAAAAATTCAATCCGCTTTTTATATCTAATCTTCCTGCAATATAATTTCTCAAGTGTTCGAATCAGATCTGTTTGTTCAGATTGTGTAATCAATATCCAGTGTATTTATCTATGTCGATTGATATAGAATAGATGTACGTGTCCACTTGATGCTGAGAGACTCATACAAAAACAACTGCTCATGTCTTTCCAGACAATTCGATGCGATGCTGAACAAAGTTGCTCACAAAGTGCATGAGAACATGAGCTACTCTGATGACGCTGACGTGTTCACTTATTCACTGCATAGTCTGCTATATGAGGATAAAGTAAGTAAAAATGTATTTGGACGCAGCTCCAATCATATGGCACGCTTTTACAGACGTATTACGCAAACAAACCAAAAAACGTTAGTACTACAGTTTTAAATACATAATTTAAAAGATTTGTTTTGCATATGTATTTATTCTTGCCTTTCTGAATGCTTTTTTTTTTTTTTTTACTTGTATTTAATATTTTTATAATAATAATAATTATTATTATTATTGGCCAAATTGTGCAGCCCTTCAAATAAGCACAGTAAAACTGGAGCTCTTTAAAAAAAAAAATAATAATTCAATCTCAATTTTTACAAGAAATGTTTTTTTTCGCTAAAATTGTGCGGCCTTACTGAATGACCAAAAACTGCTTGCAATTCGTTCTGACTGTGCAAACTGAGACTCTTTTCAAAAATCTGGTTTTAAGATAATTTCATACCACTTGTATGTGAATTTATACATCAGATTATTGCTTTTTTGTAAGCTTAGCATCAGAAAAACACAAGTCAGATAAATTGATTTTGTGCAAGGCAAGACTTGCCAGCTGTAGGATTACATGTGAATATGACACTCATGTCAGAGTTAAATGATGCCAGAGGATTTGAACGGCCATTTATTAACTGAATATAATGAATTAGCTGATAATTAACCATTATGACTTGTGAGCTCCTTCCCACCCTCTGAATGAATGAATGGATGGATAAATGTATGGAGACATTGAAACTGTGTGTATCAGTTTTCTCCTCAGGCACAACAGTCCTGCACAGCAGGCCAAGGAAGCAAAAGGGGTCAGTTTCACACTCCAGTGTGTCACATGATACCAAAATGGTTTGTGACACCAGAGAATGCTGAACTTGAGAAGAAAAGGGCATCGTCATGTTTTTTGTCAAACTGGACACAGACCATCGTGCAATTAGAGTTTCTAGTTGAATCTGATTTCCTGGTTTGTGAACACGCAGCTGTTGCCACACTTTTCATTTACAAAAGGAGTGAAACAGACGGATGCTGTCAGATTCACAGCTGTGGCTGTGAAGCCTCTCGCTTCTGTGAACTTGGTAGACTGCTCAAGGCTTGCAGCTGATACCTCAACTCATATTAAATGCACTTCAGGCTGGCAGAGAACGTTTGAAGGAGGGGGCTGATTTCAATTATTAGTCAAATGCTGTAAATGTGGCGTAAAACCTGATCTGTATTTTGTCAGAATGTGGATGCAGATTGCTAAGAGATCCTGATTATCCTTGTTAGCTTTTTAGCATGACTTGAGCTATTTAGTGACAATGGACCTCAGGTGACCGGTTTTAACTCAAGTGCCCTTGTGTGGTGTGAGTACCCTGGCAGGGCCGCAGGGTTTGCAACATCTGATTGCTGCAGTCGGGATGAAAGTATTGTATTTTGAGCTTGGATTAAGGCTTTGTCGGATCTTGTACAGATGTTTTCAACAAACCCTGCTATGTACTAATAGGCAGCATCACTGATTTCAAAACCTGTTGTGAAATGGGATTTATGAACTTTTGTGTAGTTTCATTGAGTTCTTACTCCGTTTATGCAAAGCCCATTGAGTCGTTTCCCTTTTATGTAATTTAACACTACAACTGACCAGATGCATAACTTCTCAATCATTTTGCTTATGCATCCACCGTTGCAGTCACATGTATTTTACTGCCGTCTAACCCCATTCTTTTAGCAAGCAGAAGTAAATGGGCATTGATTGGAGCCGGTTTATATGTTTAGCTGCTGATGTTTCAGAGCATATGATATTTTTGGCAAATGTACGATTGTTAATTACAGCTATATCAAGTAACAAGCCCATTGTGCTAATTATGGAAACATGATGAATGTGGGCTTAAGTGTTTGGGGTCAGTAATATCATTATATCTATTATAGTAGATTATATTTAATGTTATTTCTTATGTCTTTACCAGGTCCATCAGCGAGTCTCGTGTTCTGCTGTGAATCCACGGAGGACAGTTTTGGAGTCGAGCGCCCTCTTGGTACAGTCTGGCTCAGTGGTATTAAGAAAGAGCAACAGCAACAGGAAGCAAGCTGGACAGGGGGGAGGTGAGGGAGGACGAGGGCGCTGCCTTTGTCCTGAGACACAGAGTCTGTACCAGCAGTGATACCGACCCCACCCGCACATCCACCTCAGGTGGCCAGGAGGCCATGAGTGCCAGCGCAGATCACAGATTGTACAGCCCCTCACAGAATGGGGTGAGTGCAGAACCACAGAGGCCATTGCTATTTACTAATGAGAAACTGATTAGCTTTTGTCAGACTTGATCAGACTTGATCAACCATCCTGCTCCCTAGATATTGACATTGACATAAAAGACATATAGGTCAACCACTGCTATATATCCTGTTTGTTATGGTAGTGGGGCATAATAAAGCAAAAAACTAGACGCAGTGCATTAAGCTCCCGTAACCTTGGTAAAATCATGAACACACAACTTTGAGTGATTTCTATCAGTTTAATCAAATACACCAATTTTCAATAAATTATATATTAACAGCAGTAAGCAATTCCTCTGACAAATAATTTAGTTAATTAGCCTAACTAACCATTTTAATGGTTTGTAGCAACTTGGCACATTAGAAATTCATTTGATGTGCCTTAACAGGTGTTTGTGTGTAGGCTCTTTCACAGTGGCTCTTCTGATCAGATTTTAGACTCCGAACATTTAGAATAAAAGTGTATAAACCGCAAACTTCACTTATCTATACCAAAGGACACAGAAACCTCCATTTCAGCCACACTGAAATGCATGTATAAAGTAGTTTAGGATCACAAGTAGCTTATACTGATTGCTTACAAATTCTCACTCAATAAGAAAAGTGCATTCACTTGAGAACTCAATGGACTGTTTATAAAAGCTAATGAACTATTAACGAATGCTTTACAGTGACTGCACACACTCTAATTTGCATCTGCAGTCCATTATGGCCCATGAGTCCAGCAGATTCATCATTTGAGGTGCGGCGTACAGAAGAATTGCACAGGGATCATGTACTTGTGCATTATTTGTTTCTGTGAGCTATAATTACTTGCTACAGTCCAATATAGACAGAGTTTTTTAGTATCAGAAGAGTCTGTACAGGCTCAAAAGGTTGTCAAAGGATCTGTGGAGCAATCCAGATTGGTTTAGATGAGGATCATAGGAATATGCCTAGGGAGAAAGAGACGGTTACATTAAACTGGCTGAGTTGATCTTTTCCTGTTCATTTGGTTAGATATTGCTTGTTTATATTACGTGCCTGATTTTGAATAATTTGTATCTATGTCTCTACGTCAGCTACATGTTACACTGATATGCAGATAGCTCTAACATTGTTAGCAGATTTAAAGAGGACTCTTTGTATTTGCATGAGCTCTCTGTGTCTGTTATTTGCATGCATCCAACACAAATACACACAGTGGTTGTGTATTGTGTAATCTGACTTGGGCAATGTTTGTGTCAGTCATTGTAATCCACGTGGCAGTTGGCTGCCGAGGCTGTGGCGTGGTGTGGTCAGACAGGGCAGGTGTAAAACTATCCCATCCCCAGAGCAGACACCCTACTGGCTTTTCTGGTTAAGGTAGATCCACGACAACAAGGCCAGGCTGATGAAATTTTAAACAGTCCTCAGGACACAGTAATAGACACTGTTTGGTGTTTATTTTGCATCATGTTTCTTGTGGACGTGGTTGAGTATTTGTGTCTGATTACACAATTTAGGACTAGCGTTTTTGTACAACTGAGAGAAATCAGTTTTAAATTTAATGAGGGTCTAATTGAATCATATGTCCATCAATACACAGGAGAGACTGGTGTGTGAGCATACCTGGAAAATGAGAATCAACTATTTCCCTTGAGTATGCCAAAATTGTCCTGGTTCACACAAGCAGCTATAGATTTTACACTTTTGTGCATTATGTTAGCATGTTTTTTCCCCTTGTATTTGAATATGCCTGTCCATTAATTTTTACACTCCATTTTTTCTTTAAATGTTGTTCAGTGTAAAGTTTGCTAGATGAGCATCTTTGGCTGTTACTGGACCAATTAGAAGAATATGGTGGTGGGATAAACAAATTTTAAAAACTGGAAATTTGAGTTTGTCACATTTTATTGGATTGTAATATTTCTACTCTGAGAAATTTTTTATTCTGTTGATACCAAGCGAGCCGCACGGGTCCTGAAAAGTGAAGCCAAAGCATCTCGATCGCCCCCAGGTGACTGGCTGCAGTATAGGTCATAAACCCCGCCCTCTCCATGTAATGTAAGGGGACAAACTAAATAATCAAATTACACTTTAAATATTTTATTTAAGACATATTGTGTCATTTTAGGTAGTTCTTAGCATGCTGATGTAGGGCTGCACGATTAATCGTATTTTAATCTCGATAACGTTATCCACCTTTCTCGATTAATTAAAAATAATCGTCGCTATATTGGCCGGCTTATTTATCCTGAAAATGTGTTTTTAATTTGGCATTTGCGTTATCTTGCATTGCTAACAAGTCTTCACTAGCGTTTATTCTTGTGGTTGCCAGATGTGAAGAGATTAAGTCCCCAAAACAGAGCTTTTCTCCGTTTAAGGATACACTTTCTGCCCGGTGTTTTATTTAATCTGTGCAATCTGGCAACCCTGTGCGCACGTTTACTGATGGCGGAACAAGTGCTGATGATAAGAAAACATACATGTGCTGGAGTTTAGCGATCTCTCCACAGCGATTTCTTCTTACATGAAAGTGTCATACTAGGGATGTAACGGTATGAAAATTTCTTATCACGGTTATAGTGACCAAAATTATCACGGTTATCAGTGTTATCACGGTATTGTTAAAATGGGCTGGAGATGTTAAAAAAGTACCGACACATAAGATAACTTATCTGAATTGTTTAAATGTGTAGAATCCACATAAGCTTGTTTTTCATCATCCAGTCAAAATTTACAGCAGGGCATGCAAATTTAAAACCTCCCAGCTTTTCTACCTTGTTTTCACTCAAAACGAAACTACTCTGCGTGCTGTGCGCACGTGAGACTGTTACTTAAAACTGTGCTTTATGCTGGACAGTATTTATTTATTGTTCAAATCGTGGTAATCTAATATGGTTTTAATGATAATTAAAAGATTAAACGGTAATACTAACCGTGGGGAATTTTATCATGATTTATCATCAAACCGGTAATCGTTACATCCCTATGTCATACAGCCAATGTGTGTTTTTTTTCACAAGCCATTTGTGCTGCGTGTGTAACCAAATTTGCCATGATCAAACTTTCACTGAGTTTCAATAATGGATCTATTGTGTTTGAGGAATAAATGCTCCATCACGTGCTTTCAGATGGAGAGGCATTTACAACACAGAGACGTAGTTCACTGACAAGCTATGCAATATCGCGTTCATAATCAAATAGCTTGTGTATTAAATGCTGCTCCATTTGAAAGCACATGATGGAGATTTACTACTAATCACAGAACCACCTTTACTGACGAGATGCGCATGACAATTGCATGCGATATATCGTGCAGCCCTACCTGCTTTCATGTAAGGCTTAAAGATGCTACGATCAATGGTTCTCTCATATTTAAGTTTTAAGTAGGAAGCTGCAGTGTTAGGGTTGCATTGATCTCCAGGTGCTACTATTCTTAATGAGAGGGGGTTGATTTCATCTGTTAGCTTTATGCTCTTTGGTTTTTCAAAGGTAACAGGTTGTTTTCCTCCAATCCGCAGCTCTGCCTTGGTGCTATGACAACAGTGTAGTTAGATGATTGGTTTTTGTATGGCAACAGCAGGAAGACTGGAGATCTATCGGCTCCACAAGGTAAATTTTTAACCAGGAACTACTTAATTCAGGTGATTGGAAGACTAAGCCAGCCATTTTTTTCCTAATAAAGGGGGGTAAAATTGAACATCCGTCTGTCTAATCACTCTTAATACTTTTTTTTTTTACAGTTTCTAGCCATGCAGCCTTTCTCTGCGATTGTCATGTGCATCTCGTCAGTAAAGCCGGTTCTGTGATTGGTAGTAAATCTCCATCACGTGCTTTCAGATGGAGAGGCATTTACAACACAGAGACGTAGTTCACTGACAAGCTATGCAATATCGCGTTCATAATCAAATAGCTTGTGTATTAAATGCTGCTCCATTTGAAAGCACATGATGGAGATTTACTACTAATCACAGAACCGCCTTTACTGACGAGATGCGCATGACAATCACATTCGATTAATCGT